TGAGCCCACCGCCTGGCAATAGATGTCTTTTAATTCTCCTGAAGGAAAAGCAAAGCAAAAAAAGCAGTGGAATTTTAAGACTAAAAAGGAAAAACAAAAAAAGGAGATAGAGGAGGCCGGGCCGTGGTGACTCATGTCTGTAATCCCAGCACTTTGGGAGGCCGAGCCGGGTGGATCACCTGAGGTCAGGAGTTCAAGACCAGCCTGACCAACATGGTGAAACCCCATCTCAAAATACAAAAAACTAGCTGGGCGTGGTGGCGGGTGCCTGTAATCTAGCTACTTGGGAGGCTGAGGCAGCGAGAATCGCTTGAACCCAGGAAGGTGTAGGTTGCAGTGAGCCGAGACATTGGGTGCGGTGGCTATGCGGTGGTACTATGGAAGCAGAGGCGGGCAGATCACCTGAGGTCCAGGAGTTGGAGACCAGCCTGGGCACATAACGAGATCCTATCTTTACAAAAGATATGAAAAATTAGCCAGGTGTGGTGGTGTGCCGCTGTGGTACCAGCTACTCAAAGGCTGAGGCAGGGAGGATTGCTTGAATAAGGGAGTTTGAGGCTACAGTGAACTGTGATCATGCCACTGCACTCCAAGCCTGGGCAACGGAGTGAGACTCTGTCTCAAAAGAAAGAAAATGCAGGTGTGGTAGGCTCACACCTGTAAATCCAGCACTTTGGGAGACCGAGGCGGGCAGATCATGAGGCCAGTTTGAAACCAGCCTGGCCAAAATGGTGAAACCCTGTCTCCTACTAAAAATACAAAAATTAGCCAGGCATGTGGCATGCAGCTGTAATCCCAGCTACTTGGGGGGCTGAGGCAGGAGAATTGCTTGAAACCAGGAGGCAGAGATTGCAGTGAGCTGAGATCGTGATCACTGCACTCCAGCCTGGGGCGGACAGAGCAAGACTCTATCTCGGAAAAAATTTTTTAAAAAGAAAATATAAAATATGGTATAAGATCAAATATATTAGTTATGAAAATAATTGTAAGTGAGCTTAATTGAACTTACAGTCACTAAAAGTCATGTTTTTGAAAAATTATGTAATGACTTTGGAAAATACCAGCAAAAAAAAAAAAGACATCCATTTCATGTTTGTTCAAAAAAGACTACATTGAACTGCTCCACTTTAAAATATATATACAAATGTTTACTTTTTGTAGAGATGGGGTCTCACTATGTTGCACAGGCTGGTCTCAAACTCCCGGCTTCAAGCAGTCCTCCTGCCTTAGCTTCCCAAGTAGCTGCTACTATAAGCATGCACCACCATACCTGGCTAATTTTTTTATGTTTTTGACAGGGTCTCACTATGTTACCCAGGCTGGTCTTGAACTCCTAGCCTTAAGCAATCCTCCCTGCTCTGCCTCCCAAAGTGTTGGGATTACAGGCATGAGCCACTGCGCCAGATCTGCTCCACTTTTTTTTTTTTTTTTAATTATGCATTTCCACCTGCTATCCCCTCTGCTGGAAATGCCTTTTCCTTTTCCCAGCTTGACAAAATCCTTCCCAGCCTTCAAATATCTGAGGCAAGCCTGGGCACAGTGGCTCACACCTATAATCCCAGCATTTGGGACCACTTGAGCCCAGGAGTTTAAGACCAGCCTGGGCAACACAGCAAGACCCTGTCTCTACAAATAAAAAGTTTTTAAAAAATTAGCTGGGCATGTTGGTGTACACCTGTGATCCCAGCTATCTGGGAGGCCCAGGAGGCTGAGGCTGTGGTGAGCTATGATTGCACCACTGCACTCTAGCCTGGGTGACAGAATGAGACCTCATTTCAAAAAAAAGGATCTCTGAGACGTCATCTCATTCATTCATTCAAATGCATATTCATGGAGGATCTGCAACATGCCAGGCACAGCAGCCACCAGGGATAAAGCAGTGGCAGGATGCAGTGGCTCATGCCTATAATCCCAGCATTTTGGGAGGCTGAGGCAGGTGGATCTCTTGTGCCCAGGAGTTTGAGACCAGCTGGGGCAACATGGTGAAACCCCATCTCTACAAAAAATACAAAAATCAGCCAGATGTGGTGGTGCTCATCTGTAGAAAAAAGTAAAAATAATTTTTTTTTTTTTTTTTGGTGAGACAGAGTCTCGCTCTGTTGCCCAGACTAGAGTGCAGTGGCGCAATCTCGGCTCACTGCACGCTCCGCCTCCCGGGTTCACGCCATTCTCCTGCCTCAGCCTCCCGAGTAGCTGGGACTACAGATGCCCGCCACCGCACCCGGCTAATTTTTTGTATTTTTAGTAGAGACGGGGTTTCACTGTGTTAGCCAGGATGGTCTCCATCTCCTGACCTCGTGATCCGCCCGCCTCGGCCTCCCAAAGTGCTGGGATTACAGGCGTGAGCCACCGCGCCCGGCCAATAAAAATACTTTTTAAAGGGAGGAATCAAGCAGTGGATATGACAAAGGCCACGACACACTCTCAGGTGAAGCCTTCCAACCTTTCCCCAGGGCAATGCGAGTCCTTCTCGGCCGCTGGAATCCCTTCCTCAAAGTCTCCCTTGCTGCAGTACACATGCATGTGCGAACATGCACGCACACAAGCATGCACACACGCACGTGCATGCACATACACACACAGGCACATGCATGCGCACGCACGCACATGCACACGCACACACATACTCATGTACACACACGCATGGCTTGGGAGGCTTCACCTGAGAGTTATGAATGTACCATTTTCCTTGGTGCATTCAGAACACTCTGTTTTTGCCTCTCTTTTATTTATTATTTTTATTTTTATTTTTTTAGACAGTGTCAGTTTGTCACCCAGCCTGGAGTACAATGGCACGATCTCAGCTCACTGCAACCTCCGCCTCCCGGGTTCAAGCGACTCTCCTGCCTCAGCCTCCTAAGTAGCTGGGATTACAGGAGCCCACCACCACACCCGGCTAATTTTTGTATTTTTAGTAGAAACGAGGTTTCACCATATTGACCAGGCTGGTCTCAACTCCTGACCTCGTGATCTGCCTGCCTCAGCCTCCCAAAGTGCTGGAATTACAGGTGTGACCCGCTGCACCCGGCCTGTGCCTCTCTTTTAACACTTATATTTTGGTATTTTCTGGATTGTGAAAGCCTTGTTAGGTGCCTTCCTTACCCCTACCTCTTTTTTTCAGGATTCGCCCAGGACCTGGCTAAAACTAGTCCTGGCTCAGAAAACAACCATATCTGTCAAAGGAAAGGGAGGTGGAACTGAGGACAGCGGCGTTCAGTGACAGTATTTTCTAAACCTGATATGGGGGCACTTATTTAAACAACTCTAAGACAACAGTGTCTCTAAGGGACTTTTGGACGTAGCCTCTGTCGTTCTGCAGCTGCAGTGAGTCCAAATAGCAATCAGAAAAGGCCACTAGATGCAGCCCAGTGGGTGCCCAGCCTGGCTGATAGAAGCCGGTTCCATCCCAGCTCAGCTCTTCCCACCCACTAAGCAAGCGCCTTCCTGCCGCCTCCCTCCCTCTCCTCTCCCACTGCACGAGCCCATCTCCCACCTGATCCTTTCCCCATCTCCTGCTCAGGCCACAGAGCAAGGCTGTCACGCTCACATGCTTCCCCTGTCTTTGTTTGCAGGTCAACCTGTCTGCTCTCAGCCACTGCAACCTCTAACTCAACAACTTCCTCTTTGAAAATTTCCTCTTTCCCTCAGGAAATACCAACTGCCCTGGCCCATGTGTGCTCCCAGGCTGTAGGCTGGGCTGGTCTCAAAGGCAGCACCATTGGGTCCTCTCCTCTCCACCCAGGCCTCACAGGGGAAGTCCCTGGCTCTGGGCCCGCCCACTTCACTCACTCTCACTGGTTCCTCTTGGAGGGTAGAAGGGGCTCAGCCCCTGGGATGGAAGAGGAGAGATAGACAAACTAAACCTGGAAATGTGCAGGGGGGAAGCGCCAGCAAGGCCAGTCCCCACGACCAGGGCAGACCCCTCGCCCCCTGCCTCTGTTCGCGCGTGCACGTGTATGTGTGTAGGTGTGTGGGGGGGTGTGTGTGTGTGTGACAGAGAGAGAGAGAGTGAGCACATGCATGTGTACTGCAGAAAGGGAGACTTCAAGGAAGGGATTACCGTGGTTGAGCTGAAGAACTCACATTTGGGTCACACATACAATCTTTCTAGGAAGCCTGGCTTCCTTTTTGTTTTCTTTTTTGAGACAGGGTCTCGCTCTGTTGCCCAGGCTGGAGTGCAGTGGTGCAATCACAGCTCACTTCAGACTCGAACTCCTGGGCTCAAGCGATCCTCCTGACTCAGCTTTTCAAAGTGCTGGGATTAAAAGCACCAGCCACTGTGGTCACCCTGGCGTGCTGTATGGGGCTATAGACAGAGTTAGATTTTCTGCTTTGTCTACCCCATCAGAGCAAAGATGACACACATGTTCTCAGCAGTCCTTGTGCCCCCATGCTCAGGTTGACCCTTTTCAGTCTCTGCACCACTTCCCACTCCCACATTGTCTGTACCCGCCACTACCCCTCCCAAGCATCGCCAAATCCTCAGCTCTTGCACACAAACCACACCCATGAGTGGACGTACGCAGGCACTGGGGTTTCTGAGAACTACACACCCAGACAGAAACTCAGAGGAGAAACCGCGAAGCCTCTGGCTGCCTCTGTCCCTGGGTGGGGAGAGTGTGGTGGCATGGGCCAGGGCCAGCCTCGAGTCCAGGTGCCCTGGGAAAGATCACAGGCCTGCCTGAGAGCATGGGCTGGTGGCCCCACCCAGCCATGCTCCTGGCTGGCCTGGGGGACCCAGAGCTAAAGGTGGTTGCGGGCTGCCCAGGTTCCACAGCCCTTGCAGCTACGGGGCAAGGGTGCTTTACAGAGTTACTCCTAGGAGGGAGTTTGCCATGTTCTCTTGTCCTTCTTCTTCCCAGACTCTGGTCAACCCAGGGTGGGGTGTGGGGGAAAAGGAGAATTCTCAAAGAAATCACAGGTCAGATAAATTTGGCCGATGGAGACTCAGCAGCCGTTTCCAAGAACAAGAAAGAGGGGGAAATCCTGATGGAGATAAATAGGGGTGGATGAAGAGGGTTTATTAATTCAGTCCACAGACGTTGAGAGGTGCCGGCCTTGCCCTGCCCAGGTGCTGGTTGCAGGTGCTGGGTGAGGATGCCAGCAGGAAATCCAGGGCTGAGAGGCCTGATGAGGATTCAGAGTGAAGAGGCGGGTGAGGAGGCAGGGCGCGGTGGCTCACGTCTGTAATCCCAGCACTTTGGGAGGCCGAGGCAGGTGGATCACCTGAGGTCAGGAGTTTGAGACCATCCTGGCCAACATGGTGAAACTCCGTCTCTACCAAAAACACAAAAAAGCAGCTGGGGGTGGTGGTGGGCGCCTGTAATCTCAGTTACTCGGGAGGCTGAGGCAGGAGAATCTCTTGAACTTAGGAGGCAGATGTTGCAGTGAGCTGAGATCATGCCATTGCACTCCAGCCTGGGCAACAAAGCGAAACTCTGCCTCAAAAAAAAAAAAAAAAAAAAAAAAGAGAGAGAGAGGGAGAGATTCGGGTGAGGATCAGGATGCCAGGTGGAAATGTGGGAGTGAGGGGGCAGTGTGATGGTGAGAGGGAAGGTGCTGGAGGCTGGCTGAGATTCCGGCCTCCAGCCTTACTATTCGCCAGCACTTAAGGGGCAGCCCTGTCTCCCGCTTCAGGCTCATCAGGAGCGGGGGCATCCAGAGCCCCATCCTCGCTGGCCACCAGCGGCTCCTCCTCCCCTTTGAGGTTGGAGCCTGACCCAGACTTCAGCTCCTCCATCGCCAGGGAGCCCTGGCGAGACTTCCGTCTGCCAAAGAAAGTGGTGAGCGTGGGCCGCCGGCCAGACCCCTCCCCGTCGGGGACCCCAGAGCCCTTGTCGCCCCCGGACCCTCCCACGGTCACTGTCACGGTCCCCTCCTCAGGGACCTGGGCTGGCCCAGCCCAGGCGTCCATCACCCCGTTACGCTTGCCGCCTCTGCTCAACACCAGGGCCCCTGTCCGCCGTTTCTGCCGCCGGCGCCACAGCAGGAGCAGAGCCACGAGGACTATGACCACCAGCAGGGCCACAAGCACGGCCACTGGCAGCATGCCTCCTGAGTTCTCATCTGGGTTCCGAAAGGGCACAGTGCTTGGGTTGGTGGAGGTCATTGGAGTCATCATCGTGGATAGTTTTACACTAGAGACCTGGGGTCCACTGGCCCCACTGGAGGGCTCCAGAGAGCCAGTTGTCATGGTAACAGGGGGTCCAGTGGTCACATTGGAGGGCTCCAGAGAGCCAGTTGTCATGGTAACAGGGGGTCCAGTGGTCCCAGTGGAGGTCTCCAGAGAGCCAGCTGCTATGGTAACAGGGGGTCCAGAGGTGCCATTGGAGGACTCCAGAGAGATAGTTGCCATGGTAAGAGGGGATCCAGAGGTGCCTTTGGAGGTCTCCTGAGAGCTAGCTGCCACGGTAACAGGGGCTCCACTGGTCCTACTGGAGGTTTCTGGAGAGTTCGTTGTCATGGTTCCACCTGTCATGGTGTGGGATCCTAGAGAGTTTGCTGTTACGGGAACAGCAGGATGACTGGTTGCATGAGGGTTTTCCTGGGGCATTGATGACATCTTGAAGGAAACATTCTGTAAGGTTGTTGGCTCAGGTAAGGGGGAACCAGTGCTGGCACCAAGGGAAGTCCCAAGAGGGGATCCCTCATTGACAGAAGTTGAGGGAGGTAGGGCTGAGGTCTGGTCCCCAGTGCTGTCGGCCTTAGGGTCACTTGTTATTGAAGCGGTGTACGTCTCTGAGTCGATGCTCAGGTATTTGCTAGTAGAGACCAAAGGACCAGAAGTCTCGCTGGGCATGGGTGTCTGCACAGCTGTCGTGTCCCCCAGAGCCTCTGGGCTTATCACAAGCACCCCAAGGAGGAGGAGCAGCACGGCCATTTCCAGGCAAACAGGCAGGAGCTGGGACCTGCAGGTGGGCAGCCGGAGAAGCAGAACACGCGGGAGTTGCCGGAGGACCTGGCTGGGCCTCCCCTCTGCCCACTTCCCTACCAACGGCCAGGCCCAACCTGCGGTTTAACGGTTTTTTCCATCCTGGCTTTTACTGTTATCAGAAATGACAGAGGAACAGATGCTGGCAGCTCCCCCATCAGCCCCATCCCAAGGCTCCCTCCAGCCTCAGCAGCTCAGACTCCAGCAGTGGCCACCCTCTCCTGGCCTTCCCTGACCCTGTGCAGCCCAGTGGCTCCAAATCTCTTCCCATCATCACCTGTCAGAGTCTTTTCAAGCCACAGGCACATTTCCAGGCCCACTGAGGCCCCTACCCCACCAAGTCTCACCCTCTTACCGGCTCAGCTGATAAGGACACAGCGCTGGGGCCAGGTCACTCCACCACCTCCCGAGGCTGGGGCAAGACTGGGGAGGACAGGGCCCCAAGGGGAAAGGAAGTGGGCCCTGGCTCCACCCACCCCACCCACCCCTCCATCCTGCCCCACCCGCCCTGCTCCCACAGCTGCTGGGCGAAGACAGCATGACCTGCTCCTTCAGGGGCCAGTGGGGTGTCTGGGGGTCTGGGGCTCACCTGAGGCAGGCAGGGAAGTGTGGGATCTGGAATCCGGATTACTGGCTCTTGGCTGAGGAATGGGATGGAAGGGGTGATGCTAGGGATGGTTGGACTCAGAGGTGGGTGGTGGGAATATGAGCCTGAGAACTCAAGGGTGTAGAGGAGGAGGTGGGAGGGGAGGGTGGTTTCCTTTGCATTTGTGGTCCCCAAGCTGTTAGGCCAGGAGCTGAGTGGTGCCATTTCCTGCTCTCAGAGCTCCCAGGAAGTAGCAGGGCAAGAGGAAGCCCCCGAGTCTGGCTGGGGGCCGTGAAAACCTTTGCAAGCTGGTGAGCTCTTGACTCCCTCATGGGGAGCTGGGGGTCACCCCAGTGGCCCCCAGTCAGGGAAGCTTGGCTAAACCAAGGTGGTTCCTACACACTGCATATGCTCAGATCTTATTTCAGCAAACCAGTAAAGATATGGGAATCTTTTTATTTTTTATTTTATTTTATTTTATTTATTTATTTATTTTGAAGTGGAGTTTAGTGCAATGGCATGATCTTGGCTCACCGCAACCTCTGCCTCCCAGGTTCAAGCAATTCTCCTGCCTCAGCCTCCCGAGTAGCTGGGATTACAGGCATGCGCCACTGTGCCCGGCTAATTTTGTATTTTTAGTAGAGACGGGGTTTCTCCATGTTGGTCAGGCTGGTCTGGAACTCCTGACCTCAGGTGATCCACCCACCTCAGCCTCCCAAAGCGCTGGGATTACAGGCATGAACCACCGCGCCCGGCCAGATGCGGGACTCTATATGGAAAAGTGTCTGGAAAGATATCCACTAAGGGACTCACCTAATTGTCTTTGGATAGGTGAGAGTAGGAGGCCGAGGCATTTTCTTCTTTGAATGGTTCCCATTTCCTGACTTTCCTCTAATTAGCAAGCTTTGACTCTTGGTTTGTGTATGTCTTTGGTTTTTGTTCTTTAAAAACGAAAATCAGTCCCGGGCGTGGTGATACATTATGCCTGTAGTCCCACCGAGGCGGAAGGATCCCCTAAGCCCAGGAGTTTGAAACCAGCCTGGGCACCACAGCAGAAACCCTGTCACTAAAAAAAAATGCATAAGTTTTTAAAATCAAAACTGATTTGTATATTTTAAGAGCAACATGTGCACAATAGAAGATTCTAACAGGTCCTTGGGACTGTGCCCTTTCCACAAGCTGATGAGTTTGTCTGACCCAAAGACATGAGACTCCAGGGTGAGAGCTGCAGGAATTAATTGCTCACACCAAGCAACAGCAGCGTGATGTTTGCGTCAGTTCCCCTTACCCCAAGTCCCACAGAGGCAACATGGAAGGACCCAGACTGACACCGCACACATAGTGGGCCTGTATCGCAGCCACAGAGCTCTGAGCTTGAGAGATTCCCCTCCTCTAGGGCCCCTGGTAAGCCCAGTGTCCCACAGGGAGACATGTCTTCATCCCTCAGGGGTGCTCACTGCAAACACAGCACTGGGAAATGGCTTGAGTACAAAGTGTTCAGAGGCTAGGTGAGGTGGCTCACGCCTGTAATCCCAGGACTTTGGGAGGCTGAGGCAGGCTGATCACTTGAGGTCAGGAGTTCGAGACCAGCCTGGCCAACATGCTGTCTTTTCTGCACACAGTGGCTCGGAATGGTAACAGGGTGCCCATTCTGCAGAGGGGATGAGGGACGCAGGAGCAAAGGAGGGTAGGTTAGAGGGCTGCATCATCAGGCCCAACGGACTTCCTGTCCTACCACCACCATCTTCCAGCTGCATGACCTTGAACAAGTCACACAACTTCTCCAATGCCCTAGGACCACCACCTTCTTCATCAAGTAACTGCAAGGATTAAATGAGATAATGTCAAGTGCACAGAAAAGCGGTTACCAGCACAGGACTCTGGGTTCCTGTCCTACCTCTTGCACTTGGGCAAAGGACTTAACCTCCTTATCCCTCTGTTGCTTTGTATAAAATGGGGATAAATTATGGTAATACCACATAGTTTGTTTTGATGATTAAGAGTTAATACATATAAACGACTGGGCACGGTGGCCCATGCCTGTAAGCCCAGCACTTTGGGAGGCTGAGGCAGGTGGATCACCTGAGGTCAGGAGTTCGAGACCAGCTTGGTCAACATGGTGAAACCCCGCCTCTACTAAAAATACAAAAATTAGCTGGGCATGCTGGCGGGCACCTATAATCCCAGCTACTCGGGAGGCTGAGGCAGGAGAATCGCTTCAACCCAGGAGGCAGAGGTTGCAGTGAGCAGAGACTGTGCCATTGCACTCCAGCCTGAGCAACAGAGTGAGACTCCATCTCAAAAAACAAACCAAAAAAAAAAAAAAAGTGCTCAGGACCTGGCATTCTTGATACACCCAATATATCACACAAAAAGACTCCACACCCATCACTTCCAGACAAACATTCCTAACAGTGTCTGTGTCTACACAAGCATGTATTCATCCATTTTAGTGCTTTGCACTTTTCACATTCCCCATAATAAAAAAGTTTAAAACAGGCCGGGTGTGGTGGCTCATGCTGGTATTCTCTCTTTTTTTTTTTTTTTTTTTAGAGATGGCTTCTTGCTGTGTTGCCCAGACTGGTCTTGAACTCCTGGGCTCAAGCAATCCTCTCATCTTGGCCTCCAGAAGTCCTGGGATTACAGGCATGAGCCACTGTGCCTGGCTTCTGTAGTATTCCCAGTAAAAAATGTATAACCTGCCTGGGTGCAGTGGCTCACTCCTGTAATCCCAGGACTTTGGGAGACCCAGAAGGCATCGCTTGAGTTCAGGAGTTCAAGGCTGCAGGGAGCTATGATTTCGCCACTGTACTCCACCCTGGGTGACAGAGTGATACCTTGTCTGTAAAAAAAAAGAAAGAAAGAAAGAGAGAGAAAGATCTAGAATCTGATCCCTGTTCGCCCCTTCACTGCTGCCTGCTGGCCTGACCCTCCGTCTTCCCTGGCCTGGACTGCTCTCCCTGTGTGAGATCTCATCCTCCTCTGGGCTGTTTTCCATACAGCAGCCAGAGGGACCCGGATGAAACATCTGACCCCACCCCTCCTCTGCTCGGAACACTGAGACCATGCCCACTCCACTCAGGGTAGAAGCCAAGTCGGCCACATCCGATCTGACCGCTGCTTACCTCTCTTACCCATGTTGCTTCTGCCCCTCCACCCAAGGCCCTGCCATCCACGTCCGCCACCCGGACCTCTGATGTGTCCCTAGAGAAGGCAAGCCCAGGGCCTTTGCGCCATCTGTGGCGGCTACCCCAGGGCTCCCCACCCAGATGTTGCTTGGCTCCTTTCTCATTCTTCGCTCAAATATCACCTTCTCAGGATGGCTTTGCCTGGCCAACCTATTTACTTACTTATTTGTTTGTTTTAGACACAGGGTCTCACTGTGTCACCCAGGCTTGAGTGCACTGGTACAATCATGGCTCACTGCAGCCTCCTGGGCTCAAGAGATCCTCCCGCCTTGGCCTCCCAAGTAGCTGGGACTACAGGCACGTGCCACTATGCCAGTCTAACTTTTAATTTTTATTTTTTGAGATGGAGTCTCACTCTGTCTCCCAGGCTGGAGTGAAGTGGCACAATCTCGGCTCACTGCAACCTCCACCTCCCGAGTTCCAGCAATTCTCCCGCCTCAGTCTCCCAAGTAGCTGGGATTACAGGTGCGTGCCACCATACCCGGCTAATTTTTTGTATTTTTAGTAGAGACAGTGTTTTACCATGTGGGCCAGGCTGGTCTCGAACTCCTGAGCTCAAGTGATCCGCCCTCCTAGGTCTCTCAAAGTGCTGGGATTACAGGCATGAGCCACCATGCCCGGCCTAATTTTTAAATTTTTTATACAGATGGGGTCTTGCTTTGTTGCTCAGGCTTGTTTCAAATTCCTAGGCTCAAGTAAGCCTCCCACCTCAGCCTCCCAAAGTGCTGGGATTACAGGCGTGAGCCACCGAGTCCACCTGGCCACCCTATTTAAAATCGCACCCCCGGTGGGCATGGTGGCTCACACCTGTAATCTCAGCACTTTGGGAGGCTGAGGTGGGTGGATCACGAGGTCAGGAGATCGAGACCATCCTGGTTAGCACGGTGAAACTCCCTCTCTACTAAAAATACAAAAAATTAGCCGGACGTGGTGGCGTGCGCCTGTAATCCCAGCTACTCGGGAGGCTGAGGCAGAAGAATCGCTTGAACCCGAGAGGCGGAAGTTGCAGTGAGCCAAGACTGCACCACTGTACTCCAGCCTTGGTGACAGAGTGAGACTCCGTCTCAAAAAAAAAAAAAAAAAATCGCACCTCTTCCCTCTGGACTATAACCTCCCCCCTTGCTTTCTCTCCGTAGCACTTCTCGCCTTCTAATGCGCCATGTAATGAACTTTCTTATTTTGCTTCTGTCACTCTCCCCACACTGGAGCGCCAGCCCCATGGCCTCACGGCTGTGCGTGTGTGCTTGCACGGTGCCCCAGCACCCACGAAGTGCTTGGTACATAGTAGGCACTGGATGATGTTTATTAACTGAAGACTTCTCTGTTTGAGACAAGGAAGAGGGTAGCAGGCTGCAGAACTGTGGACAAAGGCAAGGAGGCCAAAGGGTGGAGGGCAGAGAGGGGAGTGATGAGGCCAGGGACGGGGAGGCTGGGTGTGCCTGGAGCTGCTGTGAAGGCCCTGCCCACCCCCCCTTGAGGTCATCAGAGGTCACCAGAGGTCACCAGAGGTTTGCCTGCTTTTCCTGAGATAATAGTTGTACCCTCCCCAGGCCCCAGTTCCCCCTTCCCCCTACAGGTTTTTTTTTTTTTTTGAGATGGAGTCTCGCTCTGTCGTCCAGGCTGGAGTACAGTGGCTCGATCTCGGCTCACTGCAACCTACACCTCTGGGGTTC